AAAAGACCCAGTTATTGACACTGGCCTAGTTGATTGACACTTGCAATTTTATTCTAATTAAAAAAATAAAATGTTCTCAAAAAATCAATTATCTAAAAATTTATAATTCAAAAATTATATTTATTAATTTATTAGAGTCGATTTCTTTTATTTAATTAAAATAAAATTGCAAGTGTCAATAACTAGTTCAGTGTCAATAACTGGGTCTTTTACCTTATTTATATATATATTACCTATATGTATATATGAAAAATATATGAAAATGCATGTGGGTACTCAAATGAAAGCTCTTGATGAGTGTAACCTCGGGATGAGCTTATATCTTTAAAAATGTCAATAGTTAAGAAAGTACACTGCAATTTAATATAATTAAGAAACTACCATGAAAATAAAGTTAGCCGACATTTCAAAATTTTTATAAATTTTTTATTGAAAAAATTTCAATTAAACAATTAAAAAAAAAAATTACACATGTAAAAAACTTGAAAAACTATAAGTGCATTTTTTTAGAAATATCTTTTTAGTTGTAATTTAATTAATAAAAAGAATCAAAAATTTTCAAACTTCTGCTAACTTCAGTGTCATAAACTACCTTGTATCTTGTAAACTATTGAGATTTTTAAAGATATAAGCTCATCCTGATGTTATACTCATCGAGACCTTCCATTTGAGTACCCACATCAATTTTTCATATATTTTATATATTTATATATATATGTATGTATGAAAAATATATGAAAATGCATGTGGGTACTCAAATGAAAGCTCTTGACGAGCGTAACATCAGGATGAGCTTACATCTTTAAAAATATCAATAGTTAAGAAAGTACAGTGCAATTTAACAACAAGTCATTGTGTATAAAGCAAAATTTTAATTATTTATAGTTTACAAGTCATGGCAGTCACAAGATTGCTAGTTATTAAAAATGTTTAGAAGATTTTTAATTATCACTTATTACTCTAATTATTGACAATTTTCAAAACTTTTACACCTGACAAATTTTTATGATCAGAATATTTTTGAAAATTCGCACTTGAATCAAATTTCTACTTATGGTATTTTTTTCATAATAATTTAATTAATATTATAGAAGTTTTAAGAATTTTAAGATAACTGTTGATTTCAGTATCATTAGTTATTTTTTATTAATAGTAAAAATAATTTTTAATTATATAACTTATTAATTTTTAATTTTACCTTTTCGTAAAGATTTTGGAGTTATCATAAAATCCGGTGGTATTCTAAATTGCAATTTCTGGAAAAAAAAAAAAATTGTATTAGTTATAAAATATAAATTAAATTTATAAAAATAATTAATTAAAAAAAAATTACCTCAAGTGAAGGTGCGCTTGACTGAGAGCTTACTAGAGACTCAGAAGAATTAATTCCCGGTGACACAAAGTTCCGTGACACTAAGGGCTCCGACTGACAGAGGAATGTCGTAGTCAGTGTAGACTGTGGACCAACATTTATCGAGATTGATTCAAATCGGTGCTTTTGATTTTGTGTCACAACAAACTGGTGATTTTGTGTCACAACAAACTGGTTGTCCAGGTCCGGGTTGCCAGTGTTGACACTGGTCATTGTTTTAGTAACGTCATTAAAGTTCTGATTATTAGATTGATTATTTTCAGTTTGGGCACTGGAATCATTGGAATCATTTCCAGTTTCAACACCTGAATCTACTGATGTCATTTTCACATTTGCACTAGTTTTATTTTGTTTGTTTTTAAGACACACAATATTATCTTTTCATAAGTGGAGATTTTTATTCAGAACTCCGAATTTTTTAAATATATTTTTCTTCTATTTTAAAAAAATATTCTCACTAGATATTTATATTATTTATAATAATATCAATGGAGAAAAGTAAATAGTTTTCACAAGTACACATCACCATCAACCATTTTTTTTATGTGTTATATATTATATATATAAATGTACACATATATGATAAAACAAGTATCACAATCACACAGTATATCTGATGTTGGTATTGTTGGAATTGGGACAATAAAATAAAACACTTAAAAATTTTTTTTAGAATTTTATAACAATTAAATTAGTAAAAAAAATTCAACATCTGAAAATTAATAATAATTACAAGTGAAAAATTTTAAGAACATTTTTTTATTATTAATTTGTTAAAAGAATTTAAAAAATTGACAGCTGTCAGCTGACTTCAGTATTATACTATAAATGTGTATAGTACAGTACATTTATTATTGTATGAAACTAAAATTAGCCGACAGCAAAAAATTTTTATTTTTTTTTTATTAATAGAATTAGCAATAAAAAAATATTTTTAAAAAATTGCACGTATAATTTTTCAAATTTTTTGCATGTGGAATTTTTTCTTTTAAATTTTTTGTAATAATTTTATTAATAAAAAAATTCTGAAAATAATCAGCTGTCTGCTAATTTTATTTTCATTGTTATTATTTTATTTTAACAATAACACTTATGTTGACAAGCATTAGAACTCTTTTTTTTATGAAATTTAACTAAGTATATATTTAAAAATTTTAAAAATTTTATAACAAATAAATTATGGCCAAAAAAAAATTATTAAAGAAATTGAGATGTAGAAATTAAAAAAAATAATGGCACTGAAGTTAGCAGACGTCTAAAAATTTTTGATTTTTTTTATTAATTAAATTACAGCTAAAAAAATATTTATAAAAAATTGCACTTATAGTTTTTCAAGTTTTTTACATGTG